AGAGAGATGCACAGAGAGAGATGCACAGAGAGAGATGCACCGAGAGAGATGCAGAGAGAGAGAGATGCAGAGAGAGAGATGCAGAGAGAGAGATGCAGAGAGATGTGCAGAGAGATGTGCAGAGAGATATGCAGAGGGAGGGAGAGATGCAGAGGGAGGGAGAGATACAAAGAGAGAGATGCAGAGAGAGGTAGAGATGCAGAGGAAGAGAGAGATATGCAGAGAGATTTACTGAAAGAGATACTGAAAGAGATTCAGAGAGAGAGAGAGAGAGAGAGAAAGAGAGAGAGGGTGGAGAAAGAGAGAGGTCCTTGAAACAAAGGCTGTGCGATGGGGGATGAACGAAGGCGAAAGCAACCGGGCGAGAGCGAGGGCGCGGCGGCGGGCGGCCGACGTCAAGTGCCGGGCGTGTCGCTGATGTGGCCGCAGATGCTGAGAGCTGGCGAAGCGCGACTGACTGATGGACCCCAGGGCAAGAGCGAAACTGCTCCTGAGCGTCGCATATGCAAAGAGGCGAAGGCTGCACTGACTTCGGGGACTCCATAGATCTTTGTCGTCTCCTTACTCTATTTCTCTGCTACTTATTTGTGCAACACCGGTGGTACTCGATTTCTCTCCTTCTACGGTGAAGCGGTGGAAGGGTAAAAATGGGAACTGTTGATGGAGATTCAGCTAGTGAAAACAAAAAGACGGCGTAGGTTGAGAATAGTTTTCTCTTATAACTAAACTGACATGAACTTAAATCAAGGAACGAAAGATATGTTTTGACAGAGATAACATTTTTCAGTATTTCATTTTCTTCTGAATTGTTGCAATCATCGGGTTAATTCAAATACTTTTTATGCTTAAAAATATTTATTCAGAATAAAACAAAGTGGGTTGTTTTAGTCATTTTTGCCTATCATTTTAATATATGTATGATATTTTGTAAAACATTTTACAGCAAAGTATTTGAGTAACACTTTTACAGGATTTTACGTTACTTTACGTTTCACAGTAAAGCAATTAAGTATTGCATTAGTACAAATATACAATATTAGAGCTCGTAATGACTTTTAAGCTCTGGGGATTATCATTTAACTAATATGTATTAATACTAATAAATTAAATGGAAGTTTTCTTTTGTTTTTTGTATTCATTAATTATTATACATGTTCTATTATTCATAACGGTTGTCGATCCTAATATTAGGTTTGTTGTGTTCGTGAGGGAAAATTTATATAATAACAAAAGTTACTAAAAGAGACTATCAATGTTTTTACGTACATTAAAGAACTTACCATCGAAAACAAAATACATGTTTAGAAAATGGAAAATATTTTGTAAATATACAGGTTTTATGTTCCCGGCTGGTCTCCCGACAAGTGTGGTATCGTAGTGCTGGTGAGCGTGTGTGTGTAAGTAAGGGTTGAGGAAAGAACAAGGAATAAGAAGGAAATATCGCTCGCGGTTTGTGACCCGTTTGCTTCGGCATTCGCTTGGTGTTGATCACAGAAGCCATGGAAAATGACCTATCAAAGCAGACGGCGGCTATAATTCTCTGAACAGCGGCTGAATTCGATCTAGCTGACAAGCTAGTGACGAAAATCCTGCAGACGCAAGGATTCGATCCCTTGGATCTCCAAATCAGCGGCACAGCAATGACATCAGTTGAAGTGCAGAGCCTTCTTTGCCGATGTATTGTCCTAGAAACGATATGAGACGACTTATGTAATTTGAATTACATATTAAAATTAGGATATTAGATTTCTCGAAACGAAGTTTTGTAAAATCGGAATCCTAGTATCGAGTACGGTGGTAGGACTTTCCGCATCTGTTTCACCAGCGATTTGAAGAGGATTTAAGCTGATTACTGCCTGTATGAAAATTTTAGAGGTTGGTTGCCCAAATTGGTTTGTGGTCACTCTACATAAATTCCAGGCAATTCCAGTCAGGTACTCAAACAGTGCTCTAATAGAACGCGCCACATAACGTATATAAAAAATTCTTTATCTTTTCTTTTGTTCACTCTTATCCTTAAGGCCATGCTTATAGGTAGTCATCCCTGTCTCCATTGTCCCCCCAACCCTCAGGTTCATTATCTATGATCTAGAAAATCTCCGAGACGTGCACCGGGAGAGGTGGCTCAGGTCATCAATTCACGCAGCATCATTGCAGTACCTCTGATTGGGAGGTCCTAGGATTTTTCTTCCAACGGGGGTAGGATTTTCGACACTAGTCAGAGACTAGCTAGGGCTCTAGCTAGGGCGAGTTCTGTCGCTGTTCGGAGGAGATTTCTAGCGGCCGGCTGCTCTGATTGGTAGGTGCGCACTAGGCGAATGTGGGAGCAATACCGTAACAAACGGGCCAGGGACCGCGTGCGATCTTTTCTTCCTCTTCCTTATTCTATCCTCACTCCTTACTTACACACACATACACTTACGTCCACCACATTGCCACACATGCCGGACGGGAGCTTAAAGCTTGTCCCGCCTTGGGTGGTGTCCGGCTGGTGGGAGATACCTGGTTGGGGATAATCCTGTAGCCAACAGGTATGTCGGTGCCGGATCTCACCATCCATCGGGGTAAGATCATTGCCACCTCTCGAGAAAAGAATGCACTACGCTTACGGGACAAATGATCCTAGCCCTTGACATGCCCAGAATCTTTGAATAATCAATCAACCCGACAAGTGCGAGAGATCCGGGGAGCTGCTACCACGCTAGGAGTCCTCGTAAAACTTTGCGTCTCGTGGTATGTAAACTGAAGTAATGTAAACAATATTTCTGAATAATGTATTATGTAACATAATTGTTCGTAAAATACTTATATTCCTGTCTTCTTTTCACGAACTTCGCTTAATCTAGCAATAATAGTTCAAAGGGTTCTCTCTACTCTTTTATTTCCAATTACAAATTTCACTTTCAGACCATTTTCCCTTTTTAATGTTTCATGTCTTCCACATTCTTGCATACTAATCAAACGTCTTTAGTTACTGATTTTATTTACATCACCGTCCGATCCCATATTTTCAAAAGAACGCTGACAGCACACGACCGACTTAACTTCATCATTGCAGCAGTTCTCGGGCCCTGGCGTCAAGGCTTTTAAGCGCACCTGCTTGTCATTCACATCCTGGGTGCGTAATTGCCTTCTGAGGCCGTCATCGAACGCCAGCGCCGGGGTGGAGAGGGGTGGAGAGCGG